TTTTTTTCCTTTCCCGCGCAGCACGAGCACGTTGACGCCCACTCTAGTATACCCCGGCAACGCTCCGCGCCCAGCAGAGACCATCATAGACCGGCGCCTCGACCGGTCTCAGATTCCACCCATCCTCCAACCGTTTGCACAAGTCGTTTTTGACGCTTGTGTTGACGTCCTTTACCCTACTCCTCGTGGCATTGGTACGACGACGGTGACGAGCACAAGTGAGTCGAGTAGCGCGACAGCGTCCAGGGAGTCCGAGCTGACGTTATATATGCATGCCGCAGCCACCACGACGCTGCAGGCAGTGACAGCCTCGACCACCATCACCACCACTACCACCGAGACCACGTCGACTACAGTGACTGCGGATACTGCGCAGACCGCAGTCGCACCCCCGCCCCCACAAGGGCAAGATGCTACATTCCTGCGCATCGAAGGCTCCACAGAGACCATATTTGAAGGCTTTGTCAATTCCAAGGCCAAGACTTTCAACTTTCCCGCTGGTCCCTTGGTTTGCGACAGTCGCGTCGGCGCTGGTGGCTCGGTCATCACCGCAATCGCCGATCTAGGGTTGCCTGTGCGGGTGACGCCCACTTACAACGCCGAGGGTGTGATCTTGGGACGCGTCAAAAATGACGAGGCGGGACAAGGTCCATACGAATGGGTGAGTGGTGCCAAAGCAGTATGGATGCCATGGCTGACGCGCGCATGCTAACAGCTCCACTCTCCCATATGCTGATCCTGCAGCGAGGCGTGCGGCGCTTGATAGGTTCGGCGTCGTATGCCACTTGCAGCGCACCCCTGGCTCCGCCGAGCGCCAATACGCAGGCGGAAGACTCTCTCGCGTGAGTTCACGGCATGCCCCCCTCCTCCCCACCTTTCGCATCGCTGGCATTGATGCGCGGCCTAAGGCATACACTGACAGCTTGAGCTTTGTGCAGCTTCTACAACCCAAATATCCATCGGGGCTACCTGACCGCCACCCTGGCATCCCCCGGCAAGGTGTATGTTGCTGGACAGGGCGTGATCAGAGTGCAAGTCGACTACACCCGTGGCGATGGAGACTTGGAAACTCGTCCCGCGTCTCTTGCCATGATTGGTGGTGTACAGGCCCTAGGCGAAGGAGATGCGTACATCCCCGTGCCGACCGTACCTGGACAGTACGCTTTCAAGGCTACCAGAGACGACATGATTCGCTCCAATTCGCTGCTTGTGTACGTCAAGGCTGCTGCGTGAGAATGTGCTTGTAACCCACAGTCTTCTCCCTCGAGCGGCCCGCATGGCAGTCGTGAGTCACGAGTTGAAACGTTGAATCAAGAATGCATAGGAATCTTGAATTTCATCCATGCAATCGAGTCAAAAACTCGCGCGTCTGATATGAGTTCACCGGCCTTGACTGAATCGTGTCGCCCTCGACGGCCTTCTCAGAACACCTGCTCTGGCGGGCAAAAGCGCGGAAGATCACGTGACCAAGTACAAATCCAAATGGGGACGAGCGAGCGACTTCTGGAAAATTCGAGACGCGCGTGCAAAGAATACGCGTTCAGAAGTCGAGTGACTTGCTCCTCCACTTTGCGGATTTTGTGGTGAATTATGAAAGTGGTGAGTGAGTCGAGTGTAATTCGAGATCTCCAGTCGTGAGTCGTGAGTAGTCATGGGCAAGGCCAGCATCATGCACATGCTTCATACTCATCAAGGTCAGTCTGCACCATTCACGATTCACGATTATAACCCACAGATACCGCGCACCCTACATTCTCCTCACCCACAACATTGCTCTCATCGCACCTCGAACACCACCTTTGCGCACGACAAGCGAGGCAAGGCATCGCCCTGATTGCAGACGACACCACCACCACAATCAACACCGCGCTTTCGAGATGTCGGAGAGGAATCTGGACCAGCTGCTCAAGTGGTCCATTGCAGCGCAGGGAGAAGGTAACGGCACCGGTGCGGGCAATGGTTCCATCGACGCCCAGGCCTTGGCCGCGCAGCAGCCCGGAATGAAGGAGATCGCGGCAGAAGTGGCAGCTGGCAAGAGGCCAGATCTGCAAGATCCTGGATTGCTGGATGCTCTCATGGGCGGCAAGAGCGAGGCGCAGATGATGAAGGAGGAGTTGGCTGTGGCTTGCGATGAGCAGAGATCGACGGAGGATCGATGCATCGCTCTGGACAACTTTGAAATGGTCAGTTGGCTGGTTGGCTGGCTGGCTGGCACTTTGGCCTATGCGCATGCGCATTGCCGCCTCCCCCCCTGCGCGCGCTCACACACATTGCAAACGTGATCGACTGACGCCATTTACGCCGATGCCGCATCGCAGCTGATCGAATCGATCGACAATGCCAACAATATCAAGAATATGGGCATGTGGCCTCCACTCCTATCCCTGCTCGCCTCAAAGGTGCCCGCCATCCTTTCGGGTGCGCTATGGGTTGTCGGCACAGCGATTCAGAACAACGACAAAGCGCAAATGGCTTTGCTCTCCCACAAGCCTCTGCAGGCCATCCTCGACTCTTTGAGGTGGGGCGATGTGGAAGCTAGCAAGGGCGCTAGCGGGTCTGCAGTGAGCACGTCGGAAGCAGAAGCCATCAGATCCAAGGCGGCGTACGCTCTCAGCGCCCTGCTCAAGCACAATCCCCCTGCAGTCGTAGCCTTCGATGAACTGGATGGGTGGCAGGCTTTGAGAGGCGCACTCGAGGATCCGAGCATCGCCATTCGCAGAAAGGTCGTCTTCCTCATCAACACGCTGCTTCTTCAAGCTCAGCAGGACCAGGTAGCCGATGGCAGGGATGTGGAAGAGGCTGATCAGGTGGGCGACGCAGCCGCAGCTACCCTTGCCAGCGATGGCAACACTGCCGCGCGGGGCACTGGCACGGATGCGGATCCCATCAGAAGCGCAGCAACATCCACGCGCTCGGCATCTACCGCGCTCACTTCATTGCCTGGTCAGCCAGCCTCGAGCAATGCGCATGGCAGCGCAGCGCCTTCTGCACCGCTGGAGCGAGGTCCAGAGACGCACAGAGAGGGCATCGCATATCCAGATATTCCCAGAGCGCTGTTACATTCCGGCATCATTCAAACACTACTCAGCAGCTTGCTGCCAGCGAACAAGGTATCTGCCAGCGTTGCATCGCTCAAGGACGGTGCGCAAGCTAGAGATGACCTGGACTACAGCGAAAAGGCGTCGAGGGCGGTGGCCAATTTTGTGGAGAGTGTGTGCGAAAAGGGAAGGGGGAACGAAGAGCTGAGAAGAGGAATGAGAGATGGCGCTGCCGAGGAGGCCAAGCTGCTGGATTTGCTCAGCGATGAGTTAGAAGGAGCGCCTTTGCGAGGCTCGACGGAAGAGGACGATGAAGCACAGAGGGATGTCAAGAGCAGGTGGCAGCAGGTGGGCTTTGAGCCTGCGGAGTGGGAGCAGCTGAGGGAAAGAGCGAGCAACATGGCCGCTGGCGATGCCGCTGCGTAGAGTCATGTGTGCAACGGTGCTCCTTGTGCGAATTCCATGCTTTCGAGCTCGGGCAACAGCGAGATTCCGTACCGCGTGTGAATAATCTTGATCAGCACCATCACAAGTGACGTCGTCGACCAAGCGCATTCATGCGGGCAAGCAAATCATTGCAGAGAGCTCGCGATTCGCCTCTCGCAACTTGGACCAAGGACCCCATCGATTCGCGATCGAATGTACGCGCTGCAATCCTTACTCGAGAATCTAGCGCAACGATGGAAGAATTTCGCATGTGATTCACGTGGACTGTGAGATCATGATCACCCTCTAAAGTCACGAATCAACCCACACCCATTCAACTCTCACTCACCATTGCGAGTTTAAGACTCATGTCCTTACAGTAGTCGTCGGTCTGCGTGGTCTTGCTTCGAGAGACTTGACGTCTGTTTGCGTTTTGAGCCTGCAGAAGACGTGATTCGTGACCGTGCACGTGACTTGCAGGGCACAGGCGAAAAAGAAAGAAAAAAAGTCAGCCCAGCAGCAACAAGCGCGCGCGCCGGCCGCTGCAGCACGGCTCCGCAATGGCATTGTCCGTCCGCGATGTTTGATTCAAGATTCTTCGCCTGCTCAAGGCCCTTTTGCTGGGAACACCCTTCCATCACACTCCTCACACATGGTCTGGACCGTGCACAGCGGCCACGAAACATACCACGCTCAGACAACATGACATGATCCCACGGTCAGCATGAGCATCGGCAACGCAGAGGCTAGCACCTCCAAGCGCAAGCATCAAGCTGAAGCTGAAGCTGAAGCTGCAGCAGGTGCTGGTGCTCCCATCAAGCGCCGCAAGAGTCGAGGTGAAGATGTTGAGGTCGATGCTGCGGCGGCGGTGGCGGCGCCTGCACCGCACGCGCTCTCTCAAACACGCGACACGGAAGACGAAGATGGCGAGGATGAGGCAGGCAAAGGCATGAGTGCTACAGGTCCGTCGCAGCGGCCGCACGGATGCAGCCTAGCCGCTGCCCTCTCCACCACTTCTGCCGATGCGTTGAGATCTGCGCTGAGCACGCTCAGGAGAGAAACGAGATGTGCGGTAGACTCGGCTGGAGCGAGGGAAGCTATCGCTGCGTCGGATGGCAGAATCGCTCTTGTCACGCAGCTTCTCACTGCGCCCTCGCATCATGGCCAGGACGATCAGCTGCCTAGCGCTCTTGCTTCTCTCCTTGCTGCTTGGGATTTGGCTGATGCGGTGAGTGTGCCAGCGGCGAGGAGCCGAGGAGCTTACAGCGGCGTGTGTGCGTTGCATTGCTTGCGCGATGACAACACCACCGAGCTCACGCCGTTCCTGCCTCGCTCTTAGCAATCCTTGCCGACTCTGATCCCTTTGCCGCTCTTCTGTTTGGCTCAAATGTTGACGCTGCTATCAGCACATCAGCCGACACACGAAATGGGTGAAGCGGTAATCTCGGCACTGCTGCCACCGAGAACTCAGGCCTTAGAAGCGAGCGGCAACGGTCGTGCGCCGGCTGCATCGTCCTCGAGCAGCGGAGCTTACTGGAGAAGGATGCAGGCTTATCTCGTCGCCGGGCAAGGACAGGGTGCGAGCCACGGCGCTGCACGCGGTGCTGCAACAAAAAACGAGACGTTGACGCTGGCAACGAGCAGGTTGATGCTCGCCATGAGCTGCTTCGCAGGAAGCAAGTACGCCAGCAGAATATTCGACGCCGTCTCGTGGAGCGGCAGCGGCGCTATGCCTCGTCTGATTACCATGAGGCGAATGCGATCGCGCAAAGGCGGTCACAAGACTTCGCGGGGGTCCACCGTTGCTAACCCTGGCACCTTCGACTCGCCCGACGTGCGAACGCTCTGGACGCTGCTCCTCTTGTCTTTCTTGCGCGCAGGCTCACCGGCCCTGTCGTCCGCGGTGCTCGATCTGGGCAGACCCTACGTACCCGCCATCGTTAGCGGGCTCTCAGTCGACTCGCCAGAGATGGTCGTGCACACGCTTCAAGTGCTACACGACTCGCTTCTGGTCGACGATGGTCCGGCTGCGGCGCGATCGGCTCTGCGCGTGCCTAGGAGCAAAGTGGTGGCGCTGTTCAACGAGTGGTGCATCAAGGAGATTCTCAAGCTCTACGATCGCAAGGACCAGACCGACGTGGTGGATGGCGAAGGCAATCGCCTCGCTGTTGGCGACGTCGCTCATCACTTTCTGACCACGCTGTGCACGCATCCTGGAAGAGGTGTCTGCTTCGTCGACCGCGGTTGGTATGCCAAAGCTAGTCAGCAACCAAATGAGGAGGCCACTCGTGAAGGCATCGAGGGTTCGGAGATGGCCGATGGCGAGCTAGCTGCTGGTCGATTAGGCGCGTTGGGGGACAACGACGAGAGCGAGCTTGGTGCGCAGCGCTCTCCGCGCGTCTACAACAAGATCCTCCTGGGTGTGTCGCGCGCGCTCTCCCCTTCGCGTTCGCTACCACAACAACAGTTGACCATCGACATCCTCCGCGCAGCGCCAGAGCTCATCGGCGCATACTTTGACTCACCAAGCGGAAGCGGCTTGTCTTCCTCCTCCCTCGAGCCACGCCCTCACAGCTCTGCTTGGGTGTCTAGTGTATCCTTTCTGTCTCGCGTGCTTGCCCTGCCTTTGCCGGAGAGGCGAGAGGATACACCATCCACACCTCCGCCCTTCAAAAACCTTGTCGCTGCCTTGCTTCCCTCTCCGTTGACACGCGCGCAGTTGCAAAAGGGCCTCGCGAGCCCTGATCGGCTGGTTCAACATATCACCATGCGACTGCTCACACGTCTCTTGGACCGGCTAGTGCGCTTCAAGGAAGCCTGCCATTCCGCGATCTCCGACCTGCAGCAAGGGGAGCCAGACAGCGCAAAGGCAGTCGAGCAGTCTCGTAATACCACTCTAGATACCTCTGCTAATCCCTGGGACGGCCTTGTGCAACCGTCGAACGTCGTTGATCAGTGGAAGAAGCGATGGGGCGCGGTGGAAAAGGAAGCGCGACGAAGATTGCCAGACGTAGCAAGTATCATCACGAACCTCTCTGCTCAGGCGCTCGCGAAGGAGACTTCAGCTGCCCCTTGTCAGACGGACGGTCAGACCTCGCCTGCTACGAGGCAGGGCCAGGGGCTGCTCTTGGAGGAAGGCAGGCTGCGTGTGCTGCTCTATTACTGCCAAGTCACTCCAGCATCGGCCTTGCCCGAAGCAGCACGACTGGACTATGTTCGGCTGCTTCTGGCGCAATCAGCTGGAGTGCCTATGGCGGCGCTGTGCCGGCTGCATGCACTCAGGATCTTGTCGCTCTGTATCGGAGAGGCCTCCGAGCTGAGAGCCGCGCCGCTGGACGTCTTTGCCACCATTTCTTCCGCTTCAAGTTCTGCGTCCTCCCCAAAGACGTTCTTTGGGCTGCTTCTCCAGCTGCTAGCGCGCGACTCGCAAGAGTCAGGCAAAGCTTCTGCACTGATTCGATCTACTTGCTCTCAGGCGCTCATCGGCGTGATGCGCGAGAGCGTCCTGTTCGAACACGACCCCGCCGAATGGACCGTCTGGGTTCACACATTTTCTGGAGCTCCGAACGTGGACTCGCCAGACCGGGCGGACCATGTTCGGGCTTTCTTAGAAGATTGCGCTTCCAGGTGCCGCAAGACGCACCACCGATATCTCGAGATGAGTCGCAAGCACCGAGAAGAGAATACTGTCTCCGATGGTCTGTCCAGAGGAATTGTAGATACGGACCTGGCTGCAAGTCCATTGATGGCCACGCTCGTAGAGCAGCTCTCCATTCGTCTCCGCAAGCAATTGCTCGACGAGGCCGACGTCGTCAGCGGAATCCGTGGCACGATGCAGAGACGCGCTTTGGTCGGCTACGCTGCTAGATTGCTCGTGCTGCTACTTAGCAGTGGTAGACCTGCTCATCCGCTTCTAGCTTGGGCAAGAGAGCTGCATGCTGCTGCCCAAACAGATCATGATGTCTTCGTCGTCAGCGAGATGGGTCACGCGCTCCAATTGATTGAAGTTGTTGCGGAGGGACGGAAACCCGTGCAAGCTAGCCCAGGTGAGTTGACGCTCGCAGAGCATCAAAACGTCGCCATTGGAAGGATTAATCTCCATGAATAATGATAGGAAGAGTCAGAGGTGTTTTAAGCTACCCGGGAAGACGAAACTTGTCACATGTCTTCGACCCAATGACCCATGGTGCTGCCCTTTCAAGCTTGTCACTTGGCGCAAAGCGTGATGCAGAAGCTGACTGCGAGCTTTCACGCCCCTTCAAAACGCAGATCTACTTGCTTTTGCGCAGTGTGAGTAGCTGTGCGGCATGATGAGCACCTCGCCCGCATCGGTGCGACGAATGATTCAATTTCTATCAGAAAATGCATGGCTTGCTTAGGGCCTTGACCGGACTCCTTTGAAGACAACCTTTATCTTACTTCTGTCGTATGACGGTCCAGCGATGCGGGCGCGGGCAGCTCTGGTCCTGTCATCTTGATCGTGCTCAAGGCTGACATTGATGCTGTTTTTCGACGCTGCTTGCCACACTAGCGATATTTTCGAGTGAGTACACGCTTGATCAAGTGATCCGAGCGCGCAAGGAAGAGATACACGTTTCATGTCCAATTGCTATCATACAAGGTCTCGCGACCCGGCATGTTGAGCACACGTACCTAATGCTGTTTATGCTGAGCGTTGCTGTGTGTTTGTGGAGCGCCCCGTCTGCGCACGTAGCTGACTCGCTTTCGTTCGACTCTTGCAGTGCCTGTGGTCGACCTGCTTTGCTGCGGAGAGCCCATCAAGAACGCGGAAACACTGACAAGGACCGACTTGCGCATGGCAGTCTACGTCGGATTGAGCAATTCAAAAAGCGACCCCACCTGTTTGCATTTCATTCCCGACCTGCTGGCCACTTGCTCCGTCAGCGAGCCTAAACTGCTCCTTCACATAATTTTGCGTAGTCGAGCACTCTTGGACGCTTTCAAGACCGACTCGGCAGGGTCGCACTCTTGGCTGCGGCTGCTGCAGCACGTCAGCCTTCTGGACGAAAGCGACGAGCAAGACCGCGCTGCAGTGTCCGTCTTTGCGACAGCCTTGGAGGCGTCGTTGCAACGTGCTTCGACAGCGCCCTTCGGCGGTCAAACCAGTCTTGAAGATGTCGACCGAGTGCTGCAATGCGCTGTGCCGTTCGTGCGGTTCATCACATCAGTCGGCCTCGACTGCCTTGCCAAGCTCCTGGCACTCAGGCTTCAGCAGCAGTCTGTTCCGCAATACATCGAGCGGCTCACTGAGGCTGTTGTCAGTCTGCCGACGTCGGACTTTGCGACTTTCTTCAACCATTACGATGGCCCGTCTTGCGCACTTCATTCACTCACATTTGCTGACGACAGCCACAAAGAAGGTAGTGGAGCTCTACTAAGCCTCGCTCACCTGGGCTTGTCCACACCTGCGCGACCCGGCTCCGTCGTAGGTCCCGCAGGCCAAACTGTACACGCGCTTTTGCCACTCTGGACTGGTCATCGGGATGGCGCCGATGCGGTCTTTGCCCTCATTCTCGAGCGGCGACCAAATCTCGCCAGTGTATTCTTCGAGAAGGTGAATGAATTGCGCAAGGCAAGCGACCTGAATCTTGATGCTTGCATCGCCTCGGGGCCGCGGACACTACATGTCGCGCTCACGATCGCGGCGCAGTCGACGTCTTGGAGCATCGACGACGATCTCTGCAAGTCGCTTGTCAACAGTCTTCCTGCGCTAGTCTTCAATCCCGACGCGCGCCTTGCTTCTGACGCAGCTGCGGTCGCCCTCGCGGTCCACGATTATGAACACCACAAGTCTACGTGTCATGATCAGCTCATTTCAGCACTTGTCGAAGGCGTCCCGCTCAAACCACAGGAAGCTGCTCAACAGGTGGCGCTCGATTTGGTTACTTCGCTCGCCAACCGCGACTTACCAGGCACCGCACCGCTCGCCCAGAAGCTCGTTCAACAGACACTCTTGTGGCTAGTGAGAAGGTTTGCAGAGGACGAGGAGGATACGGCTGCAATTCGAGCGCTCATCGACTCCTTTGGCAGCTTGTTAAGCACAACGAGCCTCTCTCCCAAAGCGCACCTAGTGGAGCCAGTCATCGTCGCAGCAGTCCGCAATCGTCTTCGCCGTCCTGAGGTCATGGCTCTGGTCGCGAAATTATTTCGGACAACCATGGATCTCAAAAGTGGCTTCCGAGCGCAACAGATCAGCGCGATACTTTCTCACGCAAGTTTCAAAGCAGCCGTGTCCGTCTCGACCAACGGAACGCACGATGAGAAGGCGCGGAGTGCCGTTCTGCATGCCTTGCACGCGGCCATGGCTTCAGACCCAGCGTCGCTGTGCCGGCCAGCGACAGTAAGCACTCTCGTGCGAGCATACGGTGGCACGCTGAGTCGGGCAGATCGCACCATCATGCAAGTCCTTGAACTCTTCGAGGGTCAAGAGCGAGCAAGCGTCATCTCGATTGCCGCGAGTTGGTCACCTCAGGGTCCTTTGAGCGGCTTGGCAGAGACTTCGAACAGTCCTTTTGATGGGATCGCGAGCCTTGATCCCTCCACCGCGTTCAACACTTGCGCGGCCTTTCCACGTGGCCGGGCATTCCGACATCGCAGCAGCTCGATGCGGTCAAAAGCCACAGCCTACGATCCGCTTTTCGTTCTGTCACTTCTCTCTGCGATGCTGCTCGACGACAGCTTTGGGCAACTCACTGGGCTGCAGTGGCTCGTCGTGCTCAGATCGAATGCGCTCGGCATCGCAGCATGCTGCTTGAGCTCTCGCTCAGCTTCTTTGAGAGATCGAGCTGCTCGCGTCTTGGGTCGGGCGTATGCGATGATATCACGCGCAGCTTTTCAGGAGCGCGAGCACCTTTTGCTCGTTTTGGACTCTTTGCGCGACTCGCGCCGACATGGTGACGACCCGCTGGCATTGTCAACAACGCTTTTTGTCGCGCATGCATTCCGGGCCATCAGCGCGCCAGGCTCTCTCGCCTACCCGCTCGTCAGCCGGTTTCTGCTTCAGCGGCCAGACCTTCGACTGGAGCAAGACATTCCCATGCTGTACAACACGCTTTTGTCCGACGATGACGAGCACCATGCGCGGCATCGACTGTGGATGCTGCGCTTCTTGCGCGACGTCGTCAAGAGTGGAGGATCGAACGAATGGAGGATCATGCGTAGAAGACGCGTGTGGGAGTTGCTTTCATCCATGTACAGCGCCAGCGTGGTGCAGCGCTCTGGACAAAGCAGTACTCGATCACTCATTCAAGAGATCTGTTTGCTTCTCGCTGAAAGACCACACGTTTCCCAAGAGCTGCTTCAGCGACGCGGACTCGTCGCTTGGATCGCGCAGCATTTTTCTTTGGAGCGCTCTTCCGGCGACGGCACGCAGAGCCAAGCGTTTGGCATCGCGCTGCTCCGAAAGGCGCTGCAATCTGCAAACCTTGTTCGTCTGACGTCGCGTACCGACGCAGCGTGGATAGCTGCTTCGCTCGATGTGCTCGAAAGTGCAGGGCTGGAAGGTGTTGTCGAGGATGGCGCAACCATCCTGGAACTCTTGATGCGTCACTCGAGGCTGCTACAACGAGATTCACTTGGCCGGACGGTTCAAGAGCGCGCAAACAGCATGCTTGCAGCAATGCTGGATTTGCCAGACGCCCAAACAATCTCGATCAAGAGGATCATTTGGAAGGCTGCACTTTGCCTTGATGCTAACAGACCAAACGCGAGAGAGCTGGTCTTGAGGTCGACGAGGCAGCTCATGGACCTTGGCTGTGAGGAAGCTCGACGGTTGTGGCTCGAGACCGCAATAGCTTCGCCCATCGAGGCGACATGAATCAATCACTTCACAAACTCGTCCCGCACCACTCTTGTATACTATTGATTAATGCATGCCAGATTTCTTCCTCCCTACTGAGATGCTGCGATTGTGTTGGGCTTCTGCGCCTGATGTTCGGCTTCTCCGACAATGTCCCCATCTGCGAGAGGTTTTGCATCGACCAAGGGTCTACCGAACTCATCAAACCTCGTCACGTCGACCTTTTGCCAGATCCTCTCCCTTGGAGCTCCGATAGGCGTGGGAAGCCTGACGTTGGGACTGGGAGTGACGCCAATGTACCTCCTACCCATTTTCCTTCTGGCCGAGGATGGATGGGAGCGAAGCTGCTCGAAGATGGGCAAGGCGGTGCGGTGAGCGAGCAAGGGCTTGATGGGAAGTTCCTTCTGATGCGAATCGCGCGCTTGCGATTGGCCCGGTTTGAGCTGTGCCGGTGCCGCGCTTGCGCTTGCGTCTGCGCCTGCGCCTGCGCCTGCGCCTGCGTCTGCGCTCGCAATTTCCTGCTGGGCCGCCGCCATCGTGTTGAACGCTTGCGGGTCTAGACCGGGCAAGGATGCTGGCATGCTGGGCTGCACGGGCTCGGCGTTGGGACGATAGAATTGCACCCAGCCTGGAATGAGCGCAAAGAGCGTGTGATCGCGACCCATGCCCACATTTTGACCTGCGTGAAATCTCGTGCCTCTTTGACGCATCAGAATCTCGCCTGCTTGGACATGTTGACCTGGGGGCGCGCGGAAGAGCATAGAGCGAGCGAGAGCGGCGGAGGGGAGGGGGGGAAGCGGGAGCGTGTTTCAGTATGGGGCCAAGGGATGTGTGTGGAGAGCAAGGACGACTGTTCATGATATGGGCTCACCAGAAAACCTCTTGACCCCTAATCGCTTGCCTGGACTGTTTCTGTTATTCTTTGCAGTTCCACCTCCCCTCTTGGCCGAATGTCTGACCTGAACGCCGTTGGCCCACGCAAACGGCAGTGCAAAGAAGAATCCGCTGCTGCTGCTTGCGCTCTGATCCTCTGCTTGCGCATTCGCATTTGCAGTGCGCGAGACCGCGTTGGTGAAGGATGGACCGCTAGAGGAGAGGGAGGGCAAGGCGCCCCTCAGAGAGAGCAGGGAGATGGAAGGGTTGATATTCTTGCCTGCCACCTCGAACGCCGGTCGCACCCTCGAAATGAACGCCATGGCTTGAAGGAGAGACGTGCGCGGGGATTGGGGGGATGAGTATCGACGGTGAGCTCGCGCGTTGAATTTTACTCCCAGAAAAGTGCTGGCGCACTTTGCCTTTTGCGCTGACAAGTTGGAGGAGAGGTGGGATGACAGACACGCTGGATCGCGCAAACGACGAGGCTGCAGTCACGAGTCAAGTGGGCCAAGCTTGCAGAATTTGGCAAGGAAGGGGGGTAGTGGTCACGTGTCTAGCTGACTTGACGCGTGCACGTGACATTCGGTATTCAAGATTCACTTGATTTGACTGAAGTTGAAACTTCATTAAAGATTGCGTCAACATCCTTGGTAGGTAGCATCAGCCTTGACGAATCTTCAAAGACATTCCTGCTTCTGCATCCATACACGTTCACACGGCTTTGAGCAGGAAGCAGAGCGAACGACCATGTCGGAACAGTCATGCAGGGAGAGGCTCGCTGCGACTGCTGGGATAACAGAACAGCCTGATTGACAACAGATGGCTCATGGGATGCTGTGGCACAGGACAGCGCATCCGTACGGGGCATGGACAAACGCAGTGTCAAGAACTCCCACTCAAAGCGGCTGGGCTGGGGCTCAAATGGCGCTTTTGCAGCCGCAATCTGCTTCAAATTCGGCACTCAAAGACGTGTAAGCGAAGCTGCGAGTTTATGCAGGTGTACGCACGCACGCACGCCTCTCCAATGCGTATGCTTTACCCACGCCTGGCTATCGGACCCCGCGGATTGCGGTGTATGTTGGGTCTGGAAGAGGGGGAGGAGCTGCACGAGGCGAGGTGCCATGGATCGTGGATCGCTTCAACTGCTTGAGCGCAACTTTGATCAAGACGAGTCTGCGCTCGTATTCTTGATTAGCTTCCTACCGCAGGGCGCTCGAAATTGCTGCTTGGTGAGGGCTTTCCAGCAATTCGCGGGGCCACTCGTACCTGATTGCACACGGCAGAAAGTCGCCGTATGACAGAGCTATCCTTGGCGTAGCCGAGGGCGTCGCTGGATGGGGATCAAAGTGGGATTTATGCAGTCATACGGCAGCCGTCCGTAACCCTCAGCGCTTCGACAATGTTCATCGTTGTCCCACATTTCGTGATCAAAGGTCCAGTCGATCGAGACACGCTGAAGGTGGGCAATGAGCATATGCCGTACCTTGAACATGGTGATGCGACAGATTAAACGCAGACGTGTTGCGCATTTCAGGGGGCGCTCGCCGTGTAGCATGCGTGCAGCAAGATACGGACTGCAATTCAATCCCACCACTTGATGCTCCCCTTGACCGCGAAACACACCGATCTCCCGTCGACCGCTCTTTCTGGCGCAGACTGCGACGCACTCAGAGTTCAAGCACGATAGGCCTGCGTCTGCGTTTGCGATTGTTGTTATTGGCGTCCAGGCGGCTTGCGAACGCCCTTGACGCCGACGCAACACACCAGATAGGGCTCAGGCACGCATCGACAGCCCAAGCAGCACTTGCATCCATGATGGACGCACATATGCCTCCATAACACGCTCTTCGGGCATGAGCGTGATTAGAATGTGAGCAAGCACACGGCAGCTTACGCAGCTCGAAATGGCGGGCGCGCAGTCTGGACGATACGACTGGGGAGAAAGACGGTACTTGAAGGTGGTTGTCCTTGGTCCATCTGGCTCCTACCCGCCCATTGCTCTCCCCACACACACACTCTCTCTGTCGGACTCCCGCGCTTCTGGAAAGCGTGAAAACCCAATCTCCTCCGCGCGAAGAAACTTCGCAGCTGATCCCATCTAATCATCCGAGAGCATCGTCATACAGGGCTGGCTTCCCTCCTCGTCAATCTTCTCTTTCCCCCGCAACCCTCAGCACAGCTGAGACGAGATCCTTTGATCGATCACTTTCGTGTGCATGCCCCTCGACCTTCCCACGGCGTCCCCAATATTTCCATTGCATCTGCTCGAGCTGCTTCTCGAAAAGACTGCTGCATTCTGTGATCGGATCATCAAGCTACTCTTTGCCCCAAGAGAATACAAGGCAAGGCCCCGTACACCCATAGGCAGACTAGCTAGTGAGCTACGAAGGGCCGCCATGAATTTCTTTCGCGCAACAGGATTGGCATGCTGGCTAGCCTTGTGAGTTCCTGAACAGAAAAGGGATGCGAGAAGCGGTAGAAATGAACAACGTGCATTCAGTCACGCGGCTTGTGTCATCAGTCGCCAGGAGCACGCACAGTCTAATGACAAAGGCCCCCTCCCCCTCCCCCACTTTTCTTCGCGCGCTATACTCCGGTGGGGAAAATGCAGGAGCTCGAGCATCGTATGCGATGCCCTCGCACTGCCTCGACATTGGCCCGTGCGACGATCCGTCGAGCTGCTGCTTGTTCATCATGAGCAGCAACAAGCACGACGACAAGTAGGCTGGCAAGGACTGGAAAAACGTCTAGCAGCCGTAGGTTCGCTGACCGATCTGGGTCTGCAAGCCGGCATGGTCGGCATGGGGATCGGTACGAGTGCCGGCGAGCTAAAGGGGATAGGCGGCAAGGTGAAGGAAGCGTTGAAAAAGGCCAATGAGGGAGAAAAGGTCGAGCCTTCGGAGGAGGAGGAGGCGTTGCCAGAGTACCCAAAGGACAAGAATGGGCATTGTCCCAATTGCGGGCCCAAGCTATCGGATCAGGTGGATTTGGATGTGGAGCAAGATGCGATGCGAGCGGCGATGGGAGCAGAGACTGGACGTATGAAGGAGGCGAACAGCAAAGCTCAAGAGGCGTTGGATGGGCAAAAAGCAGCTTTCAACGATGCGCTGGACAAGTTGGCAAAGAAGCAACCGGAAAAGGTCAAGAAGATCAAATCTTACCTCGCTGCTCATCCCAACGATGCCAATTCCAACGACATCATGGCCATCATGCAAGGCAAATGAGTTGGCTCCCTGCAGCGGCAACCCGCGCAACCCCCCGAACGGTCCAAAGCTTTCGCAACGCTAACGGTAGGAAGAGAGAAAGAGGCAGTCTTTTCTTCATCTCTTTCCCCGCGTCTGCCACATTGCAGGGGGGCATACGCGCGCCCGCTCGCTTCCACGTACGTCTCTTCCAATTCATCCTAGTATGCTCAGCCCCACATTGTACCTCCTAAACACGTCTGCGTCTGAAAAGTCCTGGCTCGACTGCAGCGCCCCTCATTGGATGACCACCCGTGCTTGACATTCCGATTTGCAGGTTGTGCAAATACCCACGAACACGGCCATCGGTCGACGCTTAAAAGGTATGACCAGGCGAATAGTATTGAGCGTCGGATATACAAGATGAGAAGGTGTGATGAGAGGTGCTTGCGTGCAGAGAAGCCAAGTCGCACTTCGCACCAAGTGCGCTGTGGCGCGAGTCGGAAAAGGGCAAGCGTCGCGCGGTGAAAACAGACGAAAGGCCCCCTGAATCAGATGATGACGCAACAGCTGTTTTGCTTCAAAGTCGCGAAAAAGAGGTGCTGCGTGTCAGTTTTCCGCCATGCAAATGCAGTGTGCGGAAACAGGCAAACTCACCTTCTTTGCAGACTTGTCTGCACGCAAAAGTGGGCAGGCGCCCATGGACGGAAAGTTGAGTCAGGAGAGTACAAAACGCAAATGCGTAGGACATTGCAGATACTCACAGAACCTGAAACGAGTGCCAAGTAAGAGTGGAGCACATCAAACATGCGAAGCGTCAGCCTTGATATGCGCAGGTCAACACCATCTGCACCGTCCCTCGCACGGTCCTCTTTGGACGTGCGCCAGGCCGTGTTATCCTCATCGAGATCCGAGGTGCTGCGGAAGAAACGCGAGAAACGCTTCCCCTCGCATCTTGCCCGTGCTCACATTTTGCTCTGAGCGCTCAAACTGCCGCTCTTTTCCACCAGCTTGTCCAGATCCTCCCCTCTCTGCAGCACCGAATCTATGGTCTTGTGCTGCAGTTGCGAATGCGAACGGCGAGGGCGTATCAGGGCACGCGCTCGTCGACTCTGTACGACTTGCTCCTTTGGCAGTACTCACCAGGACGATCTTTGTCTCGTCGAGTTCTTGCTGCACCTTCATGATCTGATCAGCCTGTCTAGGGTCCTGATACCTGTTCACATAATCCTGCGCTTGCGGAAAGACTGCATTGTCCAAGATACCCGTTCCCTTGGCCGAGGGAGCAGAGCTGCTTCCCGTGGTGATGGAGTTGACCTGCCTCTCATACAATCCCTTTGGAACTTTGAGCACAAACTCGTCCAGCGTCTTGTTGAGCAGGGAAAACGCAACGCGGGAAGGGTACTCGGTGTCGGATACCAAGACGCCCGAAATGCCCTCCGAGGCGGGTCGCGAATGGACGTGCGCTACGTACGTGTTCTCTTGCACCGATTGACGCTGCGTTGGGGATGTCCGCTCGGCTACCGTCTGTGAGGGCTTGCGCATCAGTCTCGCTTCGCAGGCAATAACGCGCTCGCATCTCCTGCTGCTGTCTCCTCCCTGCAGCTCTGCCCAATCCTCCTCCTCCTCCTCCCACTCCTCACCGCCAAGCGCTCACACCTTGCACAGCCCCCAACCACTCACTTTTGCCATGAAAGCCATGACATCCTGCACAGTGCCTCTTTGCAGAAAGTTGAAGCCTGACAAATCCCAAGCCGTGACGAGAGGCACTGCCTGTGCGCCGGGCGGGTTAGCAAAGATCAACAGGCCAAAGATCTTCCTGTTAGGGGCAACAAGACGATTTATACGGGCTGAGCATGGTTGAGGGTTATGTCGAGAAGAGCAGAGAGACTCACATGACTGCTCGAGGCTTCATCGGGCGCACACGTCAAGTTGAGAGAGAAGAAGGGGGAGAAGACTGTGAGTGAGCTCTGCTCGCAAGTAGGAGCAAAGGCGTCGAGGTTCGAGGACGCGAGTCGTGCCACTGCTGGCCCCCCCCCCCCCCCCCCCCCCCCCCCCCC